CACGTCGTTCACGTAGCCTACCCAGTGTGCATTGCGACATCAGCGTATTCAACGCAGCGCCATTTTGAGGTCATTGTCTTTTAACCTCTTCTCAAAGAACTGGTGAGTGTTGTTATATTGTCTCGTGTTATTGTTTTGTGTCTGTACACATTGGTTCTCTTGAATACTCCCAATATGATGTCTGTATTCAAAAAAAGATTTAGTTGGACTATATGAGCGAATTTTGCTCAGCAAAAAATCTGTCCTGTCGGTGTTTAGCTGAAACGGTGATACATGCATATTTCGTCGACCGTTTCTGAATAAAATAGAAGGGATCTGAACAGTGAAAGTATGCCAACTTGAATCTTAAACATATGAGGTTTGCAAAACCGCAATCCGACCCCTTTCGACCCCAACGGTTCAGAAGTTATGACGGTTTATTTTCAATCGTTTTTGCTGTCCTTTTCGCTGAAAATGGCTGACGTTAATCTTCTAAACAAACACTAATATTTCAGGAAGTGTACCGTGTGTTGCAAGTGTGTGTCCCTTTGTAAATGTCAAATAGCTGTAATATAAACGCTGGAGAATGACATTAGCAAATCTTCTGTCTCAAAAATAAAAAAATATAGATGTCTGTTAGCTGATATAAATTATTTTTCTTAGAACATATATTTCTGTAGAAAAGTTTGTGAAACATTTTAATACAGAGAACCATAAATTAAGTTAACTACTAGTACCTTTTAAGAAACATGGCACATAGAAACAAATTTATCTTGACATATTGTTACATTCTAATTCAGGCCAGTTTGCCATTTTACAGTTACAGTTATTTCATCTTTTTTTTTTACTGTATTTTAAAATTTATTCTGTAAGACGGCCCTGTGTCACAAGTCCCTCATGCACTTATATAGCAGCCAAAAAAACTATTATGAGTGAAATTGTTATTATTATTCAAGTTAATTTAAAGTTATTATGATAACTGATAGGATACTGCAACAAAGTCATATACTTAAAATATTTCATTTATTTAAATTTTTTTATTTTCCTACAGGTACACTGCTTAGAATGTAATCAACTCAGGTATCGTAGGTGTGGTGGTGGGACAGTATAGGTTATGTAGTGGCAGTAGTGTAGAATAGTTTTAGTTTAGTGGATTAGTATTTTTCTGTCAATATGGTGAGACAATCCAAGAGGGTATTATTTAATGGACATTCTTCCCCAACTAAGACAACTCCAGAAAAACCAGCGAAAAAGAATAGCAGGACATATGATGGGCTAGAAGTTCTAAAACCGGTAAGATTAATGTTGTTCAGTGATGTTCTTTCATTTCCTAATAATATGTACTAATATTATGTTTCTTAGATATAGTAAAATTATTTTTTATAACGGTCAGGCCAAAATATATCATTGGCAGGTGAGAAGAGGTCCTAAACCATGGACAAAGGATGAAGAAAATGCTCTTGTGGAGTATATTAGCTTATCAAAACTTGAATTTGAGTTTGATGAATGGCCATACATGAAAGGGAGCAGTAAATATTGGTGTGATGCTGCAGTTTCTGTGAATAAAGTAGGATTTGGTAGAACAGGTAAGTAAATAAATTGCACAACAACAATTTTGACTAAAGTTTATAATAATGAAATTGTGTTTGTTTATTCTTTGTTGTTAACTAATATTCTTTATCAACAGTTAGCAACAGTGGCTAAACATTACAATAAAATTTGCCAGAGCTGTAATGAGAACTCCTGTTATGTGTAGAAGTTCTATGCTTTCCTCTATCTACTACTGGCCAAGTTATGTACTAGTGCATATAAGAAATCTATGTGTATGTAGTGCCAACCACACTGTGGGTACCGATACAGATCTCAACAATTTAAATTTGATTTTTCTGTTTTAGGTAATGCTTGTCGACAGCACACTGTTGATGGGGAAAATTCTCTCAAGTCCAAGTATAGGACATTGGAAAATGCTGAAGTGACATATGGCATTTTCCAGATTGACATTCCCATACATAACACTAACCACATTATTAACAACGCGACTAACAACCAATCACATCCAGAATCTACACCATTAACAACACCACCATATCTAAGAATAAGAAATAAAGACATTCCACCATTAAAATTACTAACAAGCCCTGATGTACTTAATATGCAGTCCTGTGCTGATAAGTCATCAGTAATGCATGACTTATTTTCATCTATGAATGCAGCTGACCAGTTATCAGTACTTACATCACTTATTTCATTAACTGACAAAACTAACCTTGTTGCACTTACAGAGCACAGTTTTATCACAGTATTAAATAACCACCACATCATAAATCGTCCTACTAATTACATTCAACTATCGGTGGATGCCATGAAAACACTCTAGTGCAATAAAGAAGATAACATACCACATGAACTAGTGAAAGCAATTGCATTAAAGAGAAATGATGGGTCACCAAGAATGCCTTTGGATAGGATGCCATTTCCCATGCTGAGCTATGTGATCAGATTTTTCAACTGTGCTTCTGCGACGGAGGTAATTATGTATATCTTGTAACATGCTTACATTGCAGAAAGTTAATAGTTTTAAGTGTTTATAAGATAAAGACAACTTAATACTAAATACTGAATATTAAGTCTATTTTTGTCCTGAGCAAAAAACACTATATTTCAGTTGAAATGCCCAGAGATATATCAGCAGTGGTTGGAGACTATGCATGCCAATTTAGGAGAGAGATTTGTACAGTTATATAGGGGACCCTGTTGGAGTGGGATAGCAGTTGAAGACAGACATCCATTAAATGTAAGTATTGGTATTACTGAATTAAATTACCAAGTTTTTTTTTTTTTTTTTTTTAATCATATTCATTCACTGCAAGTTGAATGTAAGTTTCTGGTTTGTTTAATTGTGGTGTGCTTATAATTCTGTTTTTAATTTATCTAGGCAAGGGTTAATATACCATCAATCAGCATTCGAAGACTGGAAAGTATAGCTGAAAAGAGTGATTTCAAAGCTGACACCTCTTTACAGGTGAGATTTTATTGCTGGTTGTCAAAGATATAACCTTATACAAGTATATCTACCACGGATCCAGTCAGTGAATTGCAGAAATCACTGACAAATATGTAGTCTTACTTGTGTTTTTATATCTTCATAAACTTGTAACATTTTTTTTGTATCAGTATAGGCAGTATAGGCAATACCCCTGGGAAAATATATTAAACTCTTGTGATAATTTTCTTTATATTCTTGCTTACAGATATAAGCTTTACAACAGCTACAACAATCCACACCAGGAAGACGCATGTGGATTAAGGCAGATGGAACAGATCTTCACGCCGTTTTACAGGAGTCAAAGAGGCAGCTTTGGCATGGTGATGTTGACCATTCTGATGGCAAGTTGGAAGCTATGTATCAAGACTATGTTGAAAGACGAAACAGGGTAAACTCCCTTTCCAAAGCTGCTAATTACCGTACAAAATACAAAACATGGCTAGAAGAACTAAAAGAAGACAAAGTCTTTCTTAAAGCAGAAGAGAAGAAAGCATGTGAATTGTTTAATAAGAAACAGGCAGACCCCAGAACACCAGAGAGTACATTGATGAAACTGTCATGGGAAGTACATGAGTATAAAGTCCTTAGCCAGATGTGTGACAACTACATTGTGGTCACTGAAGGTTATTTGCTGCGCATCAGTGAAAACGTACAAAATGGCCCAAATATTGCAATGGCTTTCCATGAGGAACTCTCGGAGATGTTCAACTACCTCCGCAATTTATATAAGAAGAAGCGGAAAGCAGCCTCTCATGTATTGGTTTTCATGATAGCGGATGAACAACGTAAAACAAAACCATATGCAATACCTGTTAGATACATACTGTATGACTCGTTGACTGACAAGACATACCAGCGTCTTATGAATGATGTTAAAAAAGCTATGGTAGAAGTTGGGTTAAAACCAATTGGTATGTTGAACATTTTTTTTTCATCTCATATCCTGGAACTATGTTTTAGATTGGTCAAGAAAGATTGTAAACAATTTTAATAACATAAAATAATGTGATATTATGAATTAGTTTTCAGCTAAATAAAAATTTTGTTACCCAGATTTATGACAGCTGTAGGATTAATACCAGAATGTATTTAGCCTAAGCTAATTTTTAATGAATGAAAAATAACAGTAGTTTTATTCTTTTTCAATAGGTAGTGTAACTGGTGGAGAATTCAACAGTTGTCGATATAATGGACTCACTGGTAAACCAACCTCAATCTTTAAATTGTTGATGATGGCCAAGGATAAGGTGTCCAGATTGCAGGCAAAGAGTTTATTAGAAATGCTTATCACTGAAGAAGGTATGTATTTCAAGTAACATTGCCGCAAGTAACAGACCAACAATGCAAATTAAGTTATTTTGTTTCATACTTACACTAATTCCATTCCTTATTTACAGTTAACAATGAGGGTATACATGTAGTTGCAAGACCAAATCCTGCTGTGCCACAAACTACAATACAACAGATTGATGAACTGCTGAACAGGGGATGGGACCTGAAAGACGTACTACAACATATCCGTCAAAACCAGTTCCCACAAGAGGGTTATTCCCCATATCCCTGGAGAGCAAATACACCAGAAAGTCAAACCGGTATGTTGAAATCAATAATTGCACAATACGAGTTCAAAGATTTGGTAGCAGCTCACAGTACAGTGGAGCACAGTTTCCATACCCATGCCTACATACCAGAGTTTGATGAGGATACGCAGGACTTCTTTCACGAATAGAGAAGATCACAACCATATTCTCAAACGCATAGCTAACATACAAGGGCAGGTGGACCAGATGATATTAATTTACAGGGTTTCAAAGATGCTCTGGAAGATCCCCACACTGGATTGTCTTATGCTTCATTTAAAGGCTTGAGAAAGCAGTCTGTTGAAGATGCCGAGAAATTATTGTCATTTGCTGTTGCCAACTTTTTGGCTGAGAAAGGGTTTGAAGAAACTGCACGGTATGTTAAAACG